AGCAGAGTCTCTCTGGCAGGTGGGTTCCCTCTGCCAGGCCAAAACCAGCTCTCGGACACCCCCCGAGGGGTCCTGGAGTACAAGAGGGTACTCTGCAAAGTTGCTTTGCATACAGAGTGTGGAATGCAAATGCAATTGTGCAGTAAACCAGATTCAGGGCCAATAGTGCCCCAGCAACAATATAATCCATGGTAGAAGGTGGAATGGTGTGGCCCCAGGAGAAATCAGGCTCCCTGCTGTCTAGTTTCGGGGTGCGTCACCCAAGAACTGCTGCCAAGTCACTGCGGCTTAGCAGCTATGTTGAGTGCCCCCTGGTGGTCAGTGCACGTCATAGTGACTGGTCAGATGGGCGGAGGGACACTTAGCATACACACACACACACACACACACACACACACTAGACTTGGTACATGAAATTCGTGCACGGCGGGGGGGGTCCTCAACCCAACCTGCACCCTCTCCAACCTGGGACCCCTCAGGCAATGTCTGACTGCTGGTTTAGGACTGATCCCACAGGCAGTCGGACATCCTCTCATAATCCGGGACTGGTGGCTCACGACCCCTCGTCTGCCTGCCTGTCTGAATGCCCCTAACTGTTTCTGCCTGCCAGCCTGGTTGCCCCTAACTGCCCTCCCCTGCCAGCCTGATCACCCCTAACTGTCCTCTCCTGCAGGCCTGTTTGTCCCCAATTGCCCTCCCTTGCAGGCCTGGTTGCCCCCAACTGGCCTCTCCTATTAGCCTGGTCACCCCTAACTTCCCTCCATTGCCAGCCTGGTTGCCCCTAACTACCCTCCCCTGCTGGCTCCATTGCCCCTAACTGCCCTCCCCTGCCAGCCTGGTCACCCCTAACTGCCCTCCCCTACTGGCCTGGTCACCCCAAACTGCCCTCCCCTGCTGGATTGGTTCCCCCCCCTGCCCTCTCTTGCAGGCCCAGTCACATCCAAATGCCCTCTATTGCAGGCCTGGTTGTCCCCAACTGCCCTCCCCTGCATGCCCAGCTGCCCCCAACTCTCCTCCCCTGCAGGCTTGGTCCCTGGCCAACTGCCCTCCCATGCAGGCCTGGTCACTTCCAACTGCCCTCACCTGCAGGCCTGATCCCCCCATCTTCCCTCCCTTGCAGGCCATCTTGTGGTGGCCATCTTGTGTCCACATGGGGGTGGCCATCTTTGACCACATGGGTCTGGCCATCTTGTGTGTTGGAGTGATGGTCAATTTGCATATTACCTCTTTATTATATCGGATATAGGATGATATACTAGTAGGAACCACTGCAATGTTTTGAGCAGAAGAGTGATATAACCTGACAATATTTTACAACAAAAGGATCCCTTTGGCTGCTGTATTGAAAACACCAAAGCAGGAAAGGACTGCAAGAACTTAAGCACACTGTATTTATAGTATTCACTACTTCCAAAAAGTATAAGCAACCCCAGCATCCATCAGCTAATAATGGACAAACAAAATATTCCCACATGGTGGAATATTTTTCAGCCATAAAAGGGAATGAAGTACAGGCACATGCTGCAACATGAAGAAACCCTGAAAAGATTATGCTATGTGAAAAAGCCAAAAACAAATGACATAAAGTATGATTCCATTTACATGAAATATGCAAACTCATAGAAAGAGAAATATTGGTTGCCTAAGGCTGAGGGAGAAGGAGATGGAAAGTCACTGCTAATGGATATAGTAAAAGTGTTCTCGAAATAGCAGTATTCTCACATTCTAAAAGCCACTGAATTGGTCTGGCCAGCATGGCTCAGCTATTGAGTGTCATCAACTTATGAATCAGAAGGTCCTGGTTCCGTTCCCGGTCAGGGCACATGCCCTGGTTGAGGGCACGTGGAGGAGGCAGCCAATTAGTGATTCTCGTCATTGATGTTTCTATATCTTTCCTTTCCTCTCTAAAACCAATAAAAATATATTTAAAAAATAAAAACAAAACCCACTGAATTGTATATTTTAAAATTATGGCTTTTGCCGAAACCGGTTTGGCTCAGTGGATAGAGCGTCAGCCTGCGGACTGAAAGGTCCCAGGTTCGATTCCGGTCAAGGGCATGTACCTTGGTTGCAGACATATCCCCAGTGGGGGGCGTGCAAGAGGCAGCTGATCAATGTTTCTCTCTCATCGATGTTTCTAACTCTCTATCCCTCTCTCTTCCTCTCTGTAAAAAAATCAATAAAATATATATATTTTTTTAAAATTATGGCTTTTATGGTATGTGTATTATATATAAAAAAATAATGGGGGAGAGAAATTGGAAACAGTAACTATAAACAGGACTTTCCGAGTTTTGTTGTAAAGGGAAGGAGAGAAATGAGCAGTAGTTGGAAAGGGAACTGAAGTAAAGAGCAAGTTTTTAATATGGGAGAGATGATCAACTATTTATTTATTTATGAAATATATTTTTATTGACTTAGAGAGGAAGGAAGAGGGAGAGAGGGATAGAAACATCAATGATGAGAGAGAATCAACGATTGGCCGCCTCCTGCATGTCCCCCACTGGAGATGGAGCCCGCAACCCGGGCATGTGCCCTTGACCGGAATCAAACCCGGGACCCTTCAGTCTGAAGGCCAACGCTCCATCCACTAAGCCAAACCGGCTAGGGCTCAACTATTTATTTGTTGGGGGGAACAATCCAGTGAAAAAAAGCAGGACAGAAAAGAAAGGCTGGCCAGAACATGGTTCCTGAATAGGTGATAGAGGTTAGGATCCAGGGCACACGCAAGCAAAAAGGCTGGCCTTGGCACATGGACTTCATCTGCAGGAACAGGAGGAAGGCAGAGGATTTGAGTGGTAGGTGCTGGTTAGCTGGGTTGTGATAGGTGAATTATGTAAATTCTGTGATGGCTCAAATTTTCTCAGTAACTAGGAAGCAAGAGCTTCAACAGAGAGTGAGAATGGAAGAGGAAAGACTGCAAGTGTGAGGAGAGAGGAGAGGTTTGAAAACCGGGGCAAACCCAGCCACTTCCTATTTGAGTACAGCCAGCCAGCAACCTGAGGATAATATCTATATATTTTTTTAAATACATTTTTATTGATTTCAAAGAGAGGAAGAGAGAATCATTGAGCGGCTTCCTCCTGTACCCCATACTGGGTATCAAGCCTGAAACATGGTCATGTACCCTGACCAGGAATCAAATATGATCCATTGGTTCATGGGTCAACACTCAACCAATGAGCCACACTGGCCAAGCAGAAATTGTTTAATCTTTTTAAAAAAATGTACTGAGCACCTACTATTGTGAGGCATTATGCCAGGCTTAAGGAATGCAGCAGTGAACAAAACACACAATCTAGGCCCTCATGGAGTTTACATTGTAGGGATGGAATCAGACAAAAAATAAAAAATATTATATCAGAAAGTTCTATGGAGAAAAATAAAGCATGACTGTGGTACGGAAATGCTGAGTGGAAAGCAGAAGTTGCAATTAAAAAATATGTTTTTTAATTAATTTTTTTTTTTACAGAGAGGAAGGGAGAGAGATAGAGAGAAAAATGGATGAGAGAAACATCAATCAGCTGCCTCCTGCATACCCCCTACTGGAGATGTGCCTGCAACCAAGGTACATGCCCTTGACTGGAATCGAACCCAGGACCTTTCAGTCCGCAGGCCTATCCTCTGTCCACTAAGCCACTGAGCCAAACCGGTTAGGGCTACCTTTTTTTAAATGGGAAAAGATTAAAATGGAACATTAACATCCAAAATGCTCCCACTAATACCTGTACATTTTGCCAAAGGTGGATTACAAAGCCAGTCTGGGCTTCCTAACAGCCAAGAAAATGGTCTGTCCAGAACTTTCTCAGCTTAAAACCTTATTGACAACCTCTTGCTCAGACAGCTCTATGGCAGTCTGTAGGCTTATAAGGCACTCCTGGTCCAGCCCCTGCCCAGCTGTTCTGCTTTCTCCACCTCCACCCAGCCAGGTGACCGCTATAACTGACCCTCAATAACAAGGGGGAGGGTAAGAGTGTTAGGCCAACCTGCACGCAGTAAAAAAAATCCACGCATTGCCGAAACCGGTTTGGCTCAATGGATAGAGCGTCGGCTTGGGGACTGAAGGGTCCTGGGTTCGATTCCGGTCAAGGGCATGTACCTTGGTTGCGGGCATATCCCCAGTAGGGGGTGTTCAAGAGGCAGCTGATCGATGACTCTCTCATCGATGTTTCTAACTCTATCTCTCTCCCTTCCTCTCTGAAAAAAATCAATAAAATATATATTTTTAAAAATCCACGCATAAATTTTTACTTACTTATTATTTATTTTATTTAATATATTTTATTGATTTTTTACAGAGAGGACGGGAGAGGGATAGAGAGCTAGAAACATTGATGAGAGAGAAACATTGATGAGCTGCCTCCTGCAAACCCCCTACTGGGGATGTGCCGCAACCAAGGTACATGCCCTTGACCGGAATGGAACCTGGGACCTTTCAGTCCGCAGGTCGACGCTCTACCCACCGAGTCAAACCGGTTTCGGCCACGCATAAATTTTGACTCTCCAAAAGGCAGTTCCCTTTTTGGTACCCACCAGGGGATTGGTTCTAGGACCCCTGCCCCCATACCAAAACCCACAGATATAAGTCCCTTATATAAAATGACGTAGAACAATGCATAGTTCTCTAGAGACTAATGCATAAGGTTGGCCCTCCACAGCCGCACCATAGGCTTCCAAACCGCGGGTGGAAAATACTGTTTTGGTTGAGTCTGCGGATGGGAAACCAGGGATCCAGAGGGTCAGTGGACGCACACAGTTTCAAACCGTATAGTCCCAGGGTCCACTGCGCTTCAAACAATTCAGACAAGGCGTTCCCAGCGCTCGCGCAGGCGCAAACCCCTGGCGCTCAGACTGGCCGCCCCTCCTCCGCCCCGTGGAGTTGGGCGCGCCCACCCCGCTCCCGGCGCCCCCAGCGCTTCTGCTTAGGCGTTGATGATCGCTGCCATCCTCACCCACCAAACAGGTGCCCCCGGCACACGGAAAGGCTCCAAGGAACCCACCGGCAGAAGACGCGCCACGAGAACTGCATTTCCCAGGGCCGCGCCCGCGTTCCCACAGCTCCCTGGGAGCGCGAGGGGCGGGCCTCCCGGAGGGGGTGGCGAACGCACCGCCTCAATCCCCGTAGCCCCTCCCCGGCAGCGCCGCTAAATACGTCCTTCCGCTTCCTTCTCTCTCTTTCTCCGCCATCGAGGTGCGCGCTCGCCTCTCCCTCACCATGGTGAGTCCATCCTCTGCCATCCGCGTGGGGGAGGCTTCCCGAGTTCTCAGGTCCCGCGAGTTGGCCTGCGCCGCGGGCTGCGCCGAGATGCGGGGGTGTTTTGGAGGCTTTTTGCGGGGAAGGACGAGTTTGGTCCCCGCTCCGGTCGGCGGGCCGGGCCTGGCGGGAAACTAGTGAACAGTGTAGGGTAGCCCTTGGGGAGGGGCGGGCTGCGCCGGCGCCGGGAGGTCCGGCTGCGGAGCGCGTGCTCCCGGCCGCAGCCTAGAGCGGGTTCCGCTTCCCGCTGCCGGGCGAACTGTGATCCTGGGGCAGAGAGAGAAGCGGGCGGGGGAGGTGGGTAGGGGGGCGCGGCAGTCCAACTGCTGGCTGCCTACTGCCCGTACTTGGCTTGGAGAATAGAATCGGGCTGCTGGTTTTCGTAAAGTTTTTTGTTTTTGTTTTTTAAGTTGGCGGCCAGGAGTTTTTTAGTCCTTCCAGGGACTTGAGCTTCACCCATGGAAGCTCCTGGAGCAGGGAGCGCTGTAATATGAACATCTACAACTACTGAGAACTGGGAGAAAGTCTTTGCCTTTAAAATGGCCCCTGTTGTGCAAGGGTGTGTTGGGCCACAAGAGCCCGACTTTAGACGAGCAGTCATAGTCATGCTATTCCTCCAGATTGTCCTGCAAGCAGGGCGGCTCCGGGACGTCGGTTGGGGTTAGGTTGACCCGAGTTCTTCATGAAAGCCAAAAGATGCCAAGGGAAGTGGGGATAGTCATTCTTGGGAAAGTTTCATTTTTTAAGTAGAGTTAGAATGAAGATCAAAATGACCAGTGGGTAGAGTAGATGCACTGAATGTGGGGAAAGTTGTGTAAATCGTCATGACTTTTGTAATGAGCCTTGAAAGGGGATACTCCTGTTTTACAAAGAAGGGTACTGAGACTTACAGACTTGGAAGTTATACATTATTTAGTTTACTAAAAGTTGTGTGCTTTCCTGAAAACCTAATTCCCCGACTCTCACCATCCCTGATGTGGTCCTCCTCCAGAAGACTTGAGGGTGCCCTAGACCCAACAGAAAGGATGGGGGATTTAAATCCCATCTCTGCACAATAATATGCTTGGAAGGGGGGAGGCGGGCAGGTTACATACTTCCTGACTTTTTTAACTATGGGAATTCTGGTACGTGCCTGCAGAGAAGTTGGGAGAAACAAAACAAAGGGCATGATGGCTTTTTGACTTTGAATATTTTGAGCAAGTTCTGATATTCCTAACTTGGTTGCATATCCTTATCCTTCCCAGTCTTCCCACAAGACTTTCAGGATCAAGAGGTTCCTGGCCAAGAAACAGAAGCAGAATCGGCCCATTCCCCAATGGATTCGGATGAAAACTGGTAATAAAATCAGGTAAGGACACTACCCTCCTGTGTTTTGTTTTTTAAATTTAAGATTGCTTCAGAGTCATAAATAAAAGTTGTATGTAATCCAATTTATCATGTGCTGCCACTTGAAATTTTTTTTTAAATTATGCTTCCACAGCTGGGCTTAGACACTCTTCCAATATTTAATTTCCAAGTTTTCTTCATAGTGGGCCAGAACATAATATGGGAGGCTATCTCATTGCACAGCCCAGCAGCGAAGGCCATGGTGCTCACCTAATCCATCTTTGAAGTGTTTTAACTTTTTAAAGGTTGGAATATTGCCCTCCACTTCAGAAGTAGTTGAATTGATGGCTTTGGAAAGATAGATATTAAAATTATTACCAAGTATATTTCCAGTCCCAGGTCATCTGCGCCAATTCCTGCAAAGCTGGGCCTTAAAACTCCTGCATGCCTTTCAACATCACTGCTTTTTTGGAGACCGGGTGGACCTAGAGATGGGTCTCGATGCTGAGGAAAAATTAGTATGAAAAAATCAGTGAGATTTGCCCAAAGGCTCACAGCCAGTGACAGTGCGGTATTTGATGGCACCATGTGAAAATCGCCACCCTCTGGAGCCTTCCATGCCACCACTTTGCTGCTTTTGGTACTAAACACTAGGCTTTATTATTTATGCATATTAATGTGTATGGGGGATATCTCATTGTTACAGGTGCAACTAGAATTTAAAGCGTTGCCATCATACAGTACTGAGAAAAGAGCATTGAGGCACTTGGTGAAGTGGTTTGTTTGGCAGCTCAACCCTTCTACAAGTTTGATGGATTTCTATTGAGAATATCAGGCATCCTTAGTAAAGCCCTCCCCTCCTTTTTTTTTTGTTTTGTTTTAAGCATAGCCACATGAACATCACTTTCGCTGTCTGTTGATGGTGGGACCTGCGTTGTTGTAAGGATTGAAAGAAATGTATGAGAAGCTTGGGTGCCTGCAGTTATCAATATTAGCGTCTTGCTCTGTGGACTCCTGAGCTGGGGACGTATTTTATATTTAGCATTGCACACTTCAGTCCCAGAGAATTGGCACAGCAGACTTATTTTTCTTATCAACTCAGCTGTCTTCAGACTTAAAATTATTGAAAGCAGGTTGCAATTACAGTGCTTCATTTTGTGGGAGTACTGCCATTATCCTGCTGAAAGAAAATCTTGTGTTGGTCATTTTGATTTTGCCTTTATGAGGGTAAAATCATGGCAGGCTGACATGGACAGTTCAGAGGTGGCTTTAACTCTTCAATTCACTTTTTTTTTTTGCTATTAAAGTGAGAGTGTTGATATATTGTAAAAATTATGCAGGAACTTTGTGTGGGTGTGACCCATTATGCAGGAATGATTTTTTGATGTGTTTCAAAATATATATGTGTGTGTGTCTCTGTCTAGGTCTATCTACCTCAGGTTTGTTGAATCAAAGTTGGGTGAGCATACACTTGGGGAGGGGAGAGCTTACCCACCCGCTGCTTCAGTACCACATAAGAACCAGTGTCTTCCTACCCTGGGATCATTTTGAGAGGTAAAAATTTGATTTGACTAGTTCTTAAACATCTAGCAAATCATTTTTTACTCTCCAAAAAGAGCTCCAAACTTGTGAACGGAAAGAAAAGCCTGGACCCTTTGCCTTCCAAGGATATTGTGGTACACAGTGGCAAAGTCTGTGGTGAATGAGCAGCTCGATTGAGGTCAGACTTACTTTTGTAACTTGGAATTTCCTTCTGTGTAGGTACAACTCGAAGAGGAGACATTGGAGAAGAACCAAACTGGGCCTATGAGAACTCACTCATGACAGATGACTCACATATTTATGCTGTATCCAGGTTGCCTACACCTTTAAATGATTGAAAAGATACTACCATCTGGACAGTTGGAGCATTTTAATTGGAGAATTAATGGACTTGTGATTTTGCTCTATTGATTTTTTTTTCCCCTTCTGCAATAGTAGGATGGTTCAGTAATAAATGTGTGAGATCTTTTAAACTGCTGTTGTATTCTGGTTTGTATTGAATGATACAAGTGTTCTTGGCTACCAAGTACTTCAGTGTGGCTAATGTGAGTAAGAAATTAATTTTGTTTTATCTTACTATTTTTAATCCTCACCCAGGAATATTTTTGGTTGATTTTAGGAAGAAACATCAATCAGTTGCTTCCTGTACACGCCCTGAAGGAGAATTGAACCCACAACCTTTTGGTGCATGGGACTACACTCCAACCGAGAGCCTGTACACAGCTAAATTTTTTTATTTAATTGTAATTAAGTAGCTCCACGTGGCAAGTTGCTTTTATACTTTGTTATGAGAGCATTTTTTAAATTAAGGTATTACAAATGTGTCCTTATCCCCCCATTGTCCCCTCATTTCCCCAGTCCTGCCCTCATATTTTTTATATCCTCATGCCTGAGTGTAGCACATTCTTTTTAAAATGAATAGCATCTTTATATGCTCTTCCTCAATACAACTAGGCATCATCTGAACCAGAGATAGACAAACTGGTCTACTGCCTGATTTTGTAAGGTCTGTGAACTAGATTGCTGCAATTTTAAGTGGTTAAAAAATACGTTGACGCTAAAGAAATTAAAATTTACTGGATATTTATGTGCTGGGCACTATTCTAAGCACTTGGGATTAATTAGTTGGATTTGTCTAATATGCAAATGGGTAATAGGCATTATGCAAGCCATGTCAAATGTCTGGAAAAGGTGGGAAGTAACAAGTGTCCTCATAACCTTTGGAATTAGGGTGGAAATGCAGTGAGGGATGGGGAGGGTTTCTTTGGGTCAGTCTCAGCTGGAAGGACTCATTCACAATTCCCTCAGGTCCGGAGGTGACAACAGATACTATCCCATCATACCTTAGTGTTTTTTTGTTTTGTTTTTTTTAATATATTTTCTTGATTTTTTTAGAGAGGGACAGAGTTAGAAATATCCATGAGAGAGTATCATCAATCAGCTGCCTCTGGCACACCCCCTGCTGGGGATGTGCCCGCAACCAAGGTACTTGCCCTTGACGGGAATCAAACCCAGGACCTTTCAGTCCGCAGGCTGACCTCTATCCATAGCCAAACCGGTTTTGGCTTTTTTGTTTGTTTGTTTAAATTACTGGCATGTGGTTTCTCTTAATTTGAATTTCACATTTAAACAGTATATTATGATGTATCAGCAGTTTGTTTTTTTTAATATATTGATTTATTAAAGAGTTGACTTTATTTTTCAGTTACAGTTTACATACAATACTATAGTAAAAGATTTATTTTATTAGGAAAACAGATTTGTTCCACTTAGTTTATTTATGCATTCATTGGTTGATTTTTGTATGTGCCCTGGCTAGTGAACAAACCCACAACCTTGGTGTATTGGGACATATATTGTTGATTTTTGACAGGAAGAGAGGGATAGAGAGTTAGAAACAATGAGAAAGAAACATCTATCAGCTCCCTCCTGCGCACTCCTTATGGGTACGTCCCCTTTATTAGAATCGAACCTGGGACCCTTAAGTCCACAGGCCAACACTATCCCGTGAACCAAATTGGTTAGGGCATGTTTTACCATTAATTTCATGGAGAGGAAGGGAGAGGGATAGAGTTAGAAACATAATCGATCAGCTGACTCCGTACACCCCCTACTGGGGGGTCAATCCCACAACCAAGGTTCATGCCCTTGACCAGAATCAACCCAAGACCCTTCAGTCTGAGGGCCAGTGCTCTATCCACTGAGCCAAACTGGTTAGGTTCCGCCCTCATCGTGTCCCCCCCCCCCCCCCCCCCCCCCGCTCCTCCCCACACACACACACCATGACTATTTTGTAACTACCAATTTATACTTAATTTTTTCAACCAACCCCATGGGGATCCCATCTAGCAACCATTAAAATGTTTTCTGGCTGAAGCCGGTTTGGCTCAGTGGATAGAGCATCAGCCTGCGGACTGAGAGGTCCCGGGTTCGATTCCGGTCAAGGGCATGTACCTTGGTTGGGGGCACATCCCCAGTAGGAGGTGTGCAAGAGGCAGCTTATTGATGATTATCTCATTGATGTTTCTCAACTATCCCTCTAAAAAAATGAATAAAATATATATATTTAAAAATAAATAAAATTTTTCTGAGTTTATGTTTTGTTCATTTGTTTTAGATTCTACAGTTAAGTGAAATCATATGCTATTTGTCTTTCTCCGACTTATTCCACTCAGCACAATACACTCTAGGTCCATCCATGTTGCAGATGGCAAGATTTCATTCTTTTTTATGGCTGAGTCATTCCATTGTATGTAGGCACCATTTTATCCATTTGTCTATTGAAGAGCACTTAGGTTGCTTCCATGTCTTGGCTATTACAAAGGCAACAATGAACATGGATGTATATATCTTTTCAAATTACTGTTTTGGATGTCTTCAGGTAAATACCCAGAAGTAGGATGCTGGTTCCTTCTTTGTCTTATTACAGCCTTAATTAAAGTCTTATTTTGTCTGGTACAAGTATTGCTATCCCAGCTTTTTCTTTTTTTCCATTTTCATGAGAGAATCTTTTTTCATTCCTCTACTTTCACTGTCTTTGCATCTGATGTGTCTTATAGACAGTATGTTTAAGTGTCCTGTTTTCTTATACATTTAGCCACCCTATGTCTTTTTATTGGAGCATTTAATCCATTTGTATTTAAAGTAATTATTGACATGTATTGCCAATTGATATATATATTTTTTTTTAATTTTTTTTAAAGTATTTTTTGAGAGAGGAAGGGACAGATTCTTGTCTGTACCCTGATTGGGGGTGTTGAACCCACAGCCTTGGTGTTACTGGGATGATGCTCTAGCCAATTGGGCTGCTTGGCCAGGGCCTTGATTTGTATTTTTGGTCTTTAGTTTCTTAAAGAAGACCCTTTAACATTTTTAAGTTGATTTTTAGAGGGGTGGGGACATTGGTAGGCTGTCTATTGCATCCCCCCTACCCAGGGATCAGCTGCAACCGAGCCACACTGGTCAGGACTTCAACATTTCTTGTAATACTGGTTTAGTGGTAATGAGCTCTAGCTTTTTCTTGTCTGGGAAATTAAGATTCTCTGTCTTTACTCTTTGTAAGTTGTGACATGACTTTGTCATAATATAGGGCTCTTTGGGTTCATTTTGTTTGGGACTCTCCACTTTGGACTTATATGTCTATTTCTTTCACCAGGTTTGGGAAGTTTTCCATCAGTTGGGTAGTGTTAGCCAGGTTGATGTGGCACCAATGTATTGGTTCTGTGGGGGAGGGCCCAGCAAAAGAATAGTGGCCTCTGCTGGAGCACAAAGAAAGTGAATCCTAGTTAAGTCTGTGTACGGGCCATTTTTGAGGAATGCCTATGACTCCAGCAGCGCTCTGTCACTCGGCCCATGTCCCCGCTGGTGTTCACAACCAGAAGTTACAGACTTCTTTCCCAGCACTGGAACTTTGGGCTGGGCTCCTGGTATGTGACTGGGTACCCCTTGCTCCACAGGGGGACCTCTAAAGTAGATACCCTGTTTCCCCGAAAATAAGACAGTGTCTTATATTATTTTTTTCTCCCAAAGTTGCGCTATGTCCTTATTTTCAGGGGATGACTTATCTTTCCATGCGCTAGGTCTTATTTTCGGGGAAACATGGTACATTCCTGACTTTAGCTTCTACACATGGGTGTGGGACCAGTCCTATCTCCACTTGAGAATACTGCTTTCTCTACAAACCTTGAATAGGCAGTGTGAGATGTCAGCTTTTGCAAGATAATGCAGTCACCCCTGTGGTTCCTTTGATGGCTTGCTGAGAAGCAGGCCACAGCAGAGGGGTGGTTAAGAGTTGGCAGATTCAAATCACCAGTTGTAAGCCTTGGTGTCACCTGCAGCGTGAGGCCAATGGGACCTCCCGCAAAGGCCTATGACGATGAAATGTAATAATGCACTAATGCATCAGTCACCAACTGGTGGTCTGTGAGGTCCAAAATGTTGGTGACCACTGCACTACAGCACTTGACTGTCTGGCTAGGAAAAGAAGAGGAATGGGGAGTGAACAGGGTGAAGGTTGATGTGGATCCCTCCCCTGAAGACATGCTATGTGCTGTTTAAAGCAAATGTAGGACACGGACTAGATAGTGGGAAGGGGCACTTTGTCATGAGACAAGTTAGGCGGAGATGGTGCTCACTGACAGGCTGCTTGTCCAAAGCTGTTGATGGGGACTGGCAGGAGCAGCAAGCAGGAAAGGATGCAGCTCTCAGCCTGACCCTAAGTGAAACTTCTCTTGATCAATTGGAATAACTTCAGAAGGGCTGATAATTCAGATGTTTCATAAAGTCAGATGTATATAATATTAGGGCTAGTAATAATGTCGTTTTCTAATACTTTTTTAAATTGAATTTACTTAAACAATACAACAAAATTTAATCAACAATATAGTTGCCGTTGTTTTCTACTACTTGTGCCCAACGCTCAGGAAGCATTTTAATCCCTCTGATGTAAAATTCTTGTGATTTTGATGCAAAAAATTCGGTCAATGCATTTTTGAGGCATTCTTCATTATTAAATTTTTTTCCAAGAAGAAAGTTTTGCAAAGAACGAAACAAATGGTAATCGGAAGGGGCAATATCAGGAGAATATGCAGGTTGAGGGAGAACTTCCCATTCCAACTGGCGCAGTTTTTCAGCAGTGATTCTTGCAGTATGCGGTCGTGCGTTATCGTGGTGAAGAATTACGCCCTTCCGATTAATCAGCGCGGGTTCTTTTTCTCTTAAAGCTTGGGTTAACCTTTCCAATTGGGCACTATACACTGCACTTGTAATGGTTTGGTTAGATGGTAAAAGTTCATAATGAAGAATTCCTTTAAAATTCCACCAAACACACAACATCACTTTTTTCGCATGCAAGTCAGGTTTTGGCGTGGGCTGTGGAGCCTCATTTTTGTCCAACCATTGAGGCCGCCTTTTCAAATTAACATACAGCACCCATTTTTCATCTCCGGAAACAATTTGCTCTAAAAACGGCAAA